CTAGTTCGATGAGAATAATATACCTTGAGTGTTCAACTATATTATTATAATCAATATTATCATGTGAGACTAATGCTATAACGCACCTAACACCTTCTGGAGGTAGTAAATCAGTTTTAAGGAGAGTGTGTGTTACACATGACTTGAATTTTTGTTGATTTCATTCTTTTGCCTTTGGAAATATTTTCTAAAATTTAAATCCCGTTATTTTATTTATATTTTTATGTAAATTTATTTTTATCAGCTTATTCATCCTTACATAAAAATTTACTAAAACCTGAATCATCTAATGGGCTACTGAGTTATCGTGATTATATTAACCCCTTCACTATCATATCAAATTTGAACCTTGGGGTGAAAGAATAGATAGAGCAAGAAAATACTAAAACCAAATACCTAAGTAAAGCTAATCTTAACTGCTACATGGAACAATTGTCAAGATGGGTAAACTTGGGTTAAACATTTCCTGCTCTTTTTTTTCTCCATTCTACTAATTTTCATATTTTCTAGAATAAAATGAATTTAACCGAATCTTGATCGGTTTTTTTTTTTTTTTTTTTTTTGTTTTTTTGTTTTTTTGTTTTTAATTCATTGGTTGTTTTTTGTTTATTAAGATTAAGATGAGGAGTTAGCATTTATTAAATTAATTACTTGGCTCATCTATATATATGATCGTGTGAATTAGTTTGTTGAGTCAAATTACTTCTTGCACCAATCTCCAATGCATGAAGAGTAAAAGTTCTCAAGATTAGGGTGCAATCTTTATATATGTTCGTGTGAAAAAATTGATACTATTTCTTATGTAATTGTTTTTTTAAAACAATTGAGAAAAAAAAATACAAAGAGATATAACGTAAACTTTCACTAAAAGTCAAAATAACAAAATACAATATATGAATATAAATTTCAATCATAACATGAGCGCACCATATAGCTAGGGCGGTTTATTTATTAAAAATATTAATAATTTTGTATCCAGAGAAGGAAGAACCTTCAGTATATATGTATAAGCTTTGATTCTAGTTGTTGTCGTACCAAAATTGTGATTGGAGGTACTTAATCACTTTGTCATCGACTTGGAATGCTTTAGTGAGAACATCTGGGTTGATGGGTGGATCAGATCCGAAAACAGCATTGGCAATTGTGATCACTCCTGGATTTTGGCTACTTAGACCAGCAAATGCAATGGCTTTGGTCTTTCCTACGTTGAACTGGAAGTGAATGAGGCCTTCAGGGAATACAAACACATCTCCGGGATATAATGTTTTAGTAAAGAGTTTGTTCTTCATTCCTGGTGGCGGGTTAGAAAGAACGAATCCAACGTAGAGGGTACCCTTCAAGACAGTAAGGACTTCAGTTGCTCTAGGGTGGGTGTGGGGAGGGTTGAGGCCATAGGGTGCAAAATCAATACGAGCTAGTGAAATGCCAAGAGTATTTAGTCCTGCTAGATTGTCCACATTCACAGGCGTGACCTTAGAACCAAGCGGATTTGACGTGTTTCCAGGCTTATTAAGGCCTCGGAAAAGGAAGTCATCAGCTTTGACATCATTTGGATTCTTGCAAAACTTTCCATTCACGAACACTTCAAACAAAAATAAATTAACAAAAAGGGGTTATTTTACAATAAGAAAGTTAGCCTATTAAAAGAAAATGGGTTGAAACAGTTTTCTTGGATAATACTTACAGGCATCCTTGGGATCATCAATTGCAACACAGAAATCCTGCAATGGGGAGGGATCTGATGCATTGACAAATGATGATGCCAAAGCCATAATGGAGATGGTGACCAAAAGTAACCTAAAAGCCATGTTTATGAGAAAAGAATGGAGTTAGAGGTAGATAGAAGGTAAAACTTGTTGAAGTGGTGAGGAACTAAGCATGAGAGGAGTAGCTATTTATAGCAATTTCATCTTAGACTTAGTCTCCAATTTATAAGTTTGTGAGGATTTGGTATTCTTATGGATTACTAATTCAATTCCTTTTTCTTTAAGTCTTGATGGCTTACTAATTCAATAAATTAATTCTTAACTTGTTTCAAAATAATAATAATAATAATAATAATAATAATAATAATAATAATAATAATAATAATTTTTAACTAACTAAAACACATTGTTTCATCAAGAAGCTAGAGTATAAGAAATTATAAATCATTCATGCATTATTTACAATGAGTTATGAAACATTCAAGCGGCCGCCTAGAAGAAACATTCATAATTGATGGTTTTTGAAAGTTCACCAAAGATTATTATGAGTGCCCATTTGAAAATATTGCACCAAGTTGTGACATCAAAGTAATAAATCCTTTAAATAAGGTTATATATGTTTGAAAATAGAGTTATCCATTAAGGTTGCATATGGATCAGGTACATTATACTTAATTTCTAGAATTGATTTATCAATAAATATAATATTTATTGCAATAAATTACACTTATTACAAATTGTTGGGTAGAGAGATGAGTCCAACATGCTACCATCGAACCATAGCGTTAATTGTTGGGGCAACTTGAACCAAGCTCTGTTAGATTTTGTTGGGAACGGTCCCAATTAACAAGTTGTTAATTTGATAATCACAAAATTACAAATTAACATCTTAACATGAACAATCTATTGAGTTTCTTGATTTTAACTGATCAATTGTGAATGGACAACCTATGTTAGTTTATTACCTCGTGTTGGCCTGGTCATTTAGTGCTATTTGATCTTTAATACATTTGTCAAATATGCATAATCATTATTTCCGCGAAGAAGAAATTTTAAAACCAAATACATAGAAAAAAAAAAAAAAAAAAAGTTAAGACCAAATACCTAGGAAGAAGTTATCTCTTGTCGAGATGGGTAAGCTTGGGTCAAACATTTCGTCATCATTTACCGATTTTCCGTTATTATTATTAGAGCAAATTACACTTTTGGTCCTGTGACTATTAGGGGTGTGTTAATTTGGGTACGTGACTTTTAAAACTAACAATTTAGTCCTTTAACTATCATTTTTTTAGCAGATTTGGTCCTCCTGGCCAAATTGCTGGTGGAATTTGGCCGGAAAGACATTCGAATTTTTAAATCAAATATTAGTGGGGGTAATTCGGTCTTTTTAATTGTAAAAAAAATAGCGTTTTATTTAAAAATTTGAACGTCTTTCCGGCCAAATTCCACCGGCAATTTGGCCTGGAGGACCAAATCTGCTAAAAAAATGATAGTTAAAGGACTAAATTGTTAGTTTTAAAAGTCACGTACTCAAATTAACACACCCCCAATAGTCACAGGACCAAAAGTGTAATTTGCTCTTATTATTATTTTTTAATTACATCGATATCTATATTGAGGGAAATATGAATAATTTAGTTAAATTTTGATCTAGTGTGCTCTATTTTTTAATCATTATATTATTCTTTTTAATTTTCACCGCTATGACCAGTTAAGCTGCCTATGCAGGCTTAATCATTATATGAGTTAATACCCAAAATCGTCCTCGACTATAGTGGTTTTTCTCAATTTCGTCCTAAACGACTTTGGTGACCTAATATCGTCCCAGACTTTTGTGTTTCGCTCAATTTAGTCCTCCATTTGTTATTCTGTCAAATTGGTGTTAAATTAAGGGACAATTCAGTAATGTCAATATTGATCTCTCTTTACTTTCAACTTGTGAAGTGCGAAATTCCTCTTTCTTGTACGAATTACACCCAGAATTACTCCCGGACCTGCAAATCAAATTTTATATTCGCAGTTTTAAGAGTAATTCTGGGAGTAATTCGTAAAAAAAAAAGGATTTCGCAGTTCAAATGTCTATGAGTAAAGAGATGCCAATATTAAAATTACTGAATTGTCTATTTATTTAACACCAAATGGACATAATAACAAATGAGGGACTAAATTGAGCAAAAACACAAAAGTCTGGGACTAAATTGAGCGAAACACAAAAGTCTGGGACGATATTAGGTCACCAAAGTCGTTTAGGACGAAATTGAGAAAACCCACTATAGTCGAGGACGATTTTGCGTATTAACTCATCATTATATTATGAACATGTTTTATTATGCCTACACAACTTTGGGCTTATTTTTAAGTGGTCATTTTGTGGTATAAATATTTTTGGGATTCATTTTTGCTTTAAATTAGGTCAAAATGGATTCATGTTCTTTTAATTTAGACAAATATATATATATATATATATATATATATATATATATATATATATATATATATATATATATATATATATATATATATAGTTGTGTTCATTTGTAATAATATACTTTTAAGGGATAATGGTCAAATAGACCCTCCAGGCTCCAACTATATATACCTAAGTGCAATTAGCCCCTCAAGCTAAAAAAAAAAAAAAAAAAAAAAAAAAAAAAAAAACTCTTAAATTCATTAAAAATGTGCAATTATCCTTTTTAACAGGTTACTAAAAAGTAACCAAGTTTTTTTTTTTTTTTGGAAAAAAAAAGTAACCAAGTTAAGTTTACATGCTTGACATTTACATGACATTTTATTTAAATATTTTTTAAAAAAAATTAAAAGCAAAGTCGTCAGAATTCGTCCGTTCGTAATTGCCGACGGTAGATAAGTCGCCAGATTCGACACTAGGCAGAAAACCTCGCTGGGTTCTCTTCTCCGTTCATGGAGAAGCTCACTAGCTTCTCCGTGTACGGAGAAGAGAAGTCAGCAAGCTTCTCCGTTTGGAAGGAAAAGCTCTGGCATTTCGTCCCTTGACTTTTTCCTGAAGTGTCCTTTTCCTTAATCACAACCTTGAATTCCATGGGAGCATTAAGGACGAGCTCACTTAGATTTTTATATTTTAAGAGTATAATTACACTTGGAAATTTATTTTTTCGTATGAGCTTATATTCTTTTATTAATATTTTTAAGTCAAATGAAAATTATTCTTTTATATTACACTAACTACACATTTTTTATTTTTATAAATTTTTTATATTTTAACAATTACACTTATTTTCATATAATTTTTCTAATATTTTATTAACACAGTATAACTTAAATTTTACAAGTCATTTCTCGTGCATCGCACGAGTATCACACTAGTTATAATAACAACACAAGAGGGGATACAACATAACGTGATACATGTAAATACACTCAAAGTCAAAATAACAAAATACACGTAAACTTCAATCATATATAACATTGCACACCAAAGGTAGGGCGGCTTATTTATTAATATTAATCAGTTCCCTGGTTGTTATCATACCAAAATCGTGATTGGAGATATTTAATCACTTTGTCGTCAACTTGAAATGCTTTGGTGAGAACATCTGGGTTGATTGGTGGATCAGAACCGAAAACGGCGTTGGCAATTGTAATCACTCCTGGATTTTGACTGCTTAAACTAGCAAATGCAACGGCGTCGGACTTTCCTATGTTCAACTGGAAATGAATAAGACCTTTTGGGAATATATAAACATCTCCGGGATGTAATATCTGGGCAAATAGTTTATTCTTTCCTTGTGGTGGATTAGAAAGAACAAACCCAACGTAGAGGGTGCCTTCCAAGACAACGAGGACTTCAGTTGCTCTAGGGTGGGTGTGGGGAGGGTTGAGACCGTAGGGTGCAAAATCAATACGAGCTATTGAAATGCCAAGAGTATTAAGTCCGGGTAAATTGTTAACATTCACAGCCGTAACATTGGACCCGAGTGGGTTTGATGTGTTTCCAGGTCTATTAAGACCCCGAAAAGTGAAGTCACCAGCATTGGCATCATTCGGATTCTTGCAGAACTTTCCATTCACGAACACTGCAATGACAAATAATAAATAAACAAAAAAGAGTTACGTTACAACATATGGTACATATATATATATATATATATATATATATATATATATATAATGTAATGTATATATAATAACATAACAGAAATATAATAAAGCCCAAGTTTGGATTCTTACAAACATGGTAGGGATCTTCAATTGCAACGCAGATATCCTGCAAAGGATCGGGATCTGCAGCATTGGCAAATGAAGATGCCAAAGCCATAACAACAATGGCGATGAAAAAGAACCTAAGAGCCATATATGTTTAGCAGAGAATTGAAGAATAAGTAAGTGGTGGGAAACTAAGCATGGGAGGGGTGGCTATTTATAGCTGTCTTCTTAGACTTATTAGGTTCCCAATTTATTATAAAAAAAGAGTGACTCACTTAGCCAAGTTCCGATAAGTCTACTCATTTTCTTTATCATCAAGGAAAAAAATACATTAATCGCCAACTACCTACTCAACGTAGCAACGTAACCTTTCTCAATTTGAGAATACCCATCTTATCAAATCATCCAAATAATCCCCTCTAGGGGCGCAACTGTTAGAAAATGGACATAAAATTGACGTTTGAAACTTTATTTTGAATATGGGTGTTATTAGGTGCAGTGAAAGCTAGCTTGGCAAGGGCAGAGTTCAACGTGATGTTGACTATTGTGCAAGTATAAGAAAATAAAGTTGTATGTATCTACACTGTTAGCTCTAACTTTTGGCGTAGTAATAAACACTTAATCTTCATAAATACTTAGTGAAATCCTTCATTTGGTTAAGGAGAAAAAGTGGAGTTGGGATTTACCCGAACTATTATAAATCTCTTTCTCTATAGTTCACACTTTATTTAATTATCTAATGATCCATACTACACACTCCATTATAGACCTTGTAGTCCAGGGACACCAAGTTACTCCCTCATAAGGGAAGGTTGTGGGTTCTCGCCTCAGTGGCGGCGATATTGGTCGTGTGCTTCTTTTGGTTGAAAAAATAGTTATGAACAGATATTACATTGTAATAGAGTTAATATTATTTTTTTTTAACTCTATTTTTTCAAAAGTAAAAATAGTTCTTTTAGTTACCCGGGACCCATAGTATGTGGCAATTAAGTCATCATTCAAGAATACTTTTTGGGGCATAGTTTGAACTGAAATAATTCCTTGTGGATGTTCTGTATTTTTTTTCTAATTTTTTTAATTAACTTACAATTAAATTTAAAAAAAAAAAGAATCTGTAAATTAATTATTTTTTTTAATAAAATCAATATAGATTTTTTCATTTAAAAGATCTCATTTAAAAAAAAAAAAAAAAGAGAAAATAAATTTAAGTTTAAAATAATTTTGGGAAAGAATATTAAATAGGACATATTTATTTGTAAGAATTAAATACTCCATTTGAACTAGACATCTTAACTAATTAAATGACTGTCATATTATTTTGGTCACTTTGAAGAAATCGACATCATCATTCTTCCAAAAGGCTGAACCCCAACCCTAAGGGCCAAATCGACATTATCATTGTGCATAGGTAGGGGTGATAGCAAATAGAACTTTTGGTAAACTACTCGTGTTCGTGTTCGGTAAGCGGCGTTCGCTTATTAAGGTAAACGAACATTAACAAACAAAATTTAGAGCTCGGTTAATAAACGGATATACTCTGAAAAGTTGTAAGCTCGTTTGCTAAGAGATCGTGAACAAGTTCGTTTGTGTTCATTCAATAATGTTCGCAAACAAGCTCGTTTAGTGTTCGTTTAATAATGTTCGTGAACAAGTTTGCTTGTGTTTGTTTAATATTGTTTGTATTCTCTTTGTACTTGTGTTACTTGTTTGGTTATTTGTCATGAACATTGATTATTTTTTGTTCACGAACAAATTGTGATCATGAACATGTTCGTTTATTAAACATTCACGAACGTGTTTATGAACGTGAACGAACATGTTCGCAAACATTAATGAACATGTTCGTGAACGTACTTGTTAACAAACAAGTTCGTGAACGTGTCCGTTAATATTAACGAACACGTTCACGAACGTGTTCGCGAACATTAACAAACACTCATGAACGCTTAACAAACGAACAGGAACACGAACACGAACACTCCAAAAGCCTTAACAAACAAACACGAACAACCTCCGTTCATTTATGTTCGGTTCGTTAACAGCCCTATGCACATAGGGCTGAACTAGAAAATCATGTTGTGAGACCAAGAGATAGAGAAATTACAATGGGCCATGTTTGGTAAATGGACCAATTAAAAAAAAAAAAAAACCATACACTTTAATACGATTTTTATGCATTTTATACCTTGTCTCTACGCTAGAAATACATGAACCAATTTTCCTTATCAATACTCTCAAAGTGAGGGGGCTCCTTGTGCGCAGTTAGCAAAGGTCTAGCCTCTGTGGTTCATATTCAATTGAGTTACCATGATTTACATCCTCTCAAATGCTCTGTCGGGTCGGGGTGTTGAGAGCCATTAGGGTTGGGGTTCAACCTTTTGGAAGAATAATATGTAAAAAAAAAAACAAACAAACAAACAAACAAAACAAAAAAAACAACAACAACAAAAAAACATTAATTATACGAGTACGATCTGCAACCTAATCAACAATTAATCATAGAGAGTTGGTAACCTCATGAACAACTACAATTCCCATTATGAACAAATTAAATATTAATATAGAACATGTCAGTCGTTACGTTGTACGTTGTTGATGCAATTGGTATGTTATCAACATCCATATGAATACTTGTTCGTGCATCACAGTGGTGAACAACTGAGCATTTAATTAGACCATCAATATTATTATCAAACTTAGTAAACAATTAAAATTGTAATAAATTATAAGGAAATATTGCAAATTTTGGTTCTTAATTATTTTCTATTTTAAAATGTGGTCCATCAGCTCACTTCTAAGTGAAGAAATATTGTTCTTTAATTTTTGCTCAAGTTGTCAATTTGATCTGATCCCTTTGCCTAAGAGGCCAAACTCATGTACCTACAACTAGACAAAAATTTGAAGGGTTACATTAGTTCACTTAAAATTTGAGGAATCAGTTCAAAAGTGTAATTTCCCAATACTTAATTTTCTAGGATTGATTTATCTGTTTCCAATAAATTTTATATCATTATATTAAGTAAATAGAATATTAAATTGCTGTTTTTTTCGGGGGGGGGGGGGGGGGGGGGGCAAGAAACTTTGCAATTTAGACTTTTTTGGGTCTTGAAACTCCTTCACGGTTTTCTATTTTTGTGGAACAAACATTAATCCAGTGTTTTCTTTATACTTCAATTAAGTAAATAGAATATTAAATTGCTGCTTTTTTTTTTTTTTTGGGGGGGGGGGGGGTGTCAAGAAACTTTGCAATTTAAACTTTTTGGGTCTTGAAACTCCTTCAAAAGTAGAGTTTTTCTATACTAATACTCAATCTACTTTCTTTGTTTTTCCTATTAGAGGAAAAAAGAAATTCTGGGTCTTGAAAGTCCTTGTTTTTCCTTGCTTATTTTTACTTGAGTATACAATGGTCTTCATTCAAGTACACAATGTTTGATTTGTTGGTAGAAAGAGCAGTCCCGTGAACGATTCCCAGTTTCCATATTCCTATTGTTTTTTTTTTAAAAGAAAGTTTGCAATTGTCAATATTGGGGGAAAATGACTTAAATGTGTAAGTAGGCACATGCATTTCCCAAAATATGGCGTTGCTAGGGATTGGATGAAAATATGAAAACACATTTGGGAAATGCGTTTTATTATATTTCCAGTCAAACATGAAACGCAAGTCCCCACTTGCATTTCTCGAGAAACGTAAATCCCACTTGTGTTTTTTTTTTCTTGTCTTCTCCGGCGAAGGAGAAGGCAACCAATGTCAGAAGGGGTGCCAAAACTGGAGCTGAGAACGGCGGGGAAAGACTGGGCAGCCGGAAGCGCGACGGCGGCAACGGAGGATTTGGATTGGGTTTGGAGAAGCAGCGCTGGGTATTGATTGCGAGGAGTGAAGGATCGCTTTCACGGTCATTGAATTCGGATCTTTTGCTTGTGGGCGTTGTCGTTGTAGGCATAATTGACACTGCTGCGATTGTGGCAGTGGCAGCGACAGCAGGTGGTGGGGGAGAACTACTACTATTAAGCGGTGACGTTTGTGCAGTATTGTTATTTCCACTGTTGGGACTGCCCTGAATTTGATCTCCATCTTCATCTTCTTCCTGGGCTTCTTGCTGGTCCTTCGCCGGAGAAGACAAAAAAAAAAAAAAAAAAAAAAAAAAAAAACGCAAGTGGGATTTGCGTTTCATGTTTGACCGGAAATATGATAAAACGCATTTTCCAAACGTTTTTTTCATATTTTCATCCAATCCCTAGCAACGTCATATTTTCAGAAATACATGTAGCTACTTACACATTTCAGTCATTTTTCCCAATATTTGGTTCTATTCATGTTCATGACATAATTCAGTTCATCAGGTTTTCATCTGGGCAGTTGTGGGACCTTTTTGTATACGCATGCTAAAACGGATAGCAATTATGCAAGGCAGCTTGCTACTGTCCAGAAGAGATGATTATATAAACTATTAGGACTAAGTATTAGGACTCTGTATTTGAGTCATATTATTATGACTTCTCATCCTAGTCTTTTTATGATTCTCTTTTGTATATATTCTCTCATGCACTTTGTACAGTTATAATCACTGTTCATTTAATATAGTTTATACAGTTCTCGGGTCTACATTTCTCATATTTGATTTGGTCATATTCTCTTTAATTTTTTATTTTGAATGCTGAGTTTTTTTACTAAAAAATAATACATACATTTAACTTTAGCCTCTATTTACTTTGTTTACTTGTTATCTTCATTTATTTTAATTGTTCTTTGGACTCTTTCAGCATAACGCACACATCTAACACCGAGAATGCATGCACACACGCAGTCATTACGCTCCTTCGCTCAGTGAAATGAACGTACACTCCGTTAACCGCTCATGCACACACTGACACGTTCGGACAAATTAATAATAGGTAATGAATGTGTTTTATTAGGTGGGTTTACCTAATGCATAAAACACCCTCTGCACCCGTTCACTTACAGCATAACGCACGCTTCTACACCCGTGGTTGCACACACAGCGGGTAGGTGAAATTCAAACTACTTATTGAGTATGGACATGTCTACACCCATGGTTGCGCACACAGCGGATAGGTGAAATTCAAACTACTTATTAGGTATGGACATGTTCAGCATACCGCATACACCCAACAACGAGTTTGTACACGCTCGGTCATTACACTCTCTTCTTATTGATATGCACACTCTAATAG